CCACCCACCTCAGCCTCCCAAAGTACTAGGATTACAGGTGTGAGCCACCATACCTGGCCACCTTTTTTTTAACTTCTCAAACAGATACCAGGGCCTAAACCGCTTTACCTCCCCTCCTACTGAGTCAGGTTAGGGGGTGGGAGGTCACCCATGAACGAATTAAACCAATGCAGTATGTGTAAAACAAGTCCATGTGGGTACGTCTGGGGTAGAGAGAGAGGTAGCAAGGAGTTCCTGTGGCCTCCTTGGTCACATGTCTCCCAAAGCCCTGACCCCTGCCATTGGAAGTGGACAGGAGACACGAGGTCATGACCTACAGGCACCTTTTCTGCAGCTCTGTAGGCCTGGGGAGGGGGAGACAGGGAGGAAGAAGTATGTGCTGCACATTTCTGAGGCTACTGCATTTGCTTTCAAGGCAGAAATCTTGCTCTGAGCAGTCAGCGGCTCCAGTTTGGGCCCGATAAGGAAGTTCTCCGTGGCCTCTCCCAGGCACAGCAGGGAGGAGCCTGACATTGCCAGTCTCTTCTGGGGCCCAAGACAGGTTGCAGGAGATCCAATCACCTAGACAGCTCTGGGCCTCTTGCATTTGGGTTTTTCAGAATTAAATTGCAGTATTTTGGAAAGCACATCCTGTCCACTGTTTCTTTGAAGTGAGTGTGGGAGGGGTGTCCAGTTGATGGAATTGTCATTCACTGCCAAAATCATTCCATACTCCTTCCTCAGTGTCTGTCCTGAGGGTCAGCTCCCCCTTAACAAACTGTCCCCCTACCTCTGTGACCAGCCTCTCTTTGGCAAGAGGGAGCTAGAAGGCTAATCTTACAGTCCTAATCATTTTTCTTTCTCTGTTGAAAAAAAAAACCAAGGCTCTGTTCCCTGTGGAGTGTACCCAGAGGTTGATTACCTGAGTCTGTTCTGCCTCTCTCCATCCCACCTCCCTAGCCAAACGCTGACACCAAAGCCCACGCCGTTGCCCTAGGTGTCCTGTCTTCAGTGAGTTGCCCCTCGAGGTCCCAGGCTCTCCACCGAGCCCGCACCTCTGCACCTTCCCAAGCAGGAGGGATCAGAACCTGCACTCCTGTATGCGAGTCCTGGGACAGTGCAAAGTGGATTAGGGTTAGGGTTCCCACAAACGGAAAAATGTTATTCAAACAACTCTGTAGGGTCCGAGGAGGCCCTCAGTCTTAATTCTCAAGACTGCCTGGTTCTCGCTGCCCGGCGGGAGCGGTTGCCCCGGCAACAGCCGCTCCCCCTTAAGCGGAGCTGCACCCATGCTTTGGCTAAAGGCTGTTAAAACGTTGGCCAGTGCAGTGGCTCACACCGGTAATCCCAGCACTTTGGGAGGCCGAGGTGGGCGGATCACCTGAGGTGAGGAGTTTGAAACCAGCCTGGCCAACACGTGGAAACCCCGTCTCTACTAAAAATACAAAAAAATAGCCGGGCATAGTGGCAGGCGCCTGTAATCCCAGCTACTCGGGAGGCTGAGGCAGGAGAATTGCTTGAATCCAGGAGGCGGAGGTTGCAGCGAGCCGAGATCGCGCGACTGCACTCCAGCCTGGCGACAGAGCAA